GCCCTCCCATCCTTTTGTTTACGTTATTAAATTATTAATTATTATTAAATTATTTTCACAAACTACAACTTTCTTTGGCGATATCGCAGGGACAATGCCATCAAACATAAAAATAAAATTAAGCCACATGTCTCTGTTCTCCCTGACCGTTGTAAAAACAGCAAAACTAACATGGTCTTCCTGTGAAGAAGTGGGCGGAGTCTCCATGTGGGCTACCAGGATTGTGACGTAACAATCCTTGGGTTTTTGAAACATGCTGACACTAAAAACATTTACATATTGTCAAAAACCAACTGGGAGTATGTGTTTGGCGCTTGGACTGTTTGTTTCTGGAAGCAGGACAGAACCAAAATGAAACATAAAAACATGTAAAAAAAAAAAGTGAATTTTGGACAATAGGTCCCTTTAACTGGAAGGAAACGTTTCGTGTGATGTCATCAACGTGAATCAGCTGCAGTGATTAGTTGAAATGTTTTTGCTGATGCATACAAAACATCATCTGATAAGCAGCTGGATTATTAATAAATTATTCTTTCTGTGGGATTAAAAGCTGCCATGTCTGTTTTGTCATCAGTGGCGAGGAATATTCTGGATAAGAAGAGCCARAAAGTGGACCTGGGAGGGGAGTGCAGGATCACCGTGGAGGCTCGACCCGTCCACCTGATGCTGCCCGGTCTGGTGGAGGTAAAGAAACCAATAAAAACCAATGAGCTCCAGCTGTGCCTCAGAGCGCCACCACTCAGCTTCCTGTTCTGATCTCGATTCTTGCAGATCGACTCAGAGGTTTGTCCTCGGAGGATTTTAGTCTCCAACCTGCCCAAGATGGAGACGGAGGCGCTGCAGAACAAACTGGAGATCCACTTCTCCAAGTCCAAGAACGGAGGCGGGGAGGTGGACACCTGCGACTTCCTGCCTGACTCCGGGACCGTGGTCATCGCTTTCACACAGGACCACAGTGAGAAAAACTCTCTGAATTTAAAGAGTTTTATGCATCAGAACATTAAATTTGTTTTGTTTTTTTATGATGGTTTGAACTTTTAATTTGATCCTGATGAGTTTATTTTTCCATCAGTCGCCAAACGTCTGACACAAAACGAGTTTCATGAAGTGAGACTGACCCAAACGAAGCACAAAGTCAGAGTGACTCCTTTTCTGAACGGAAAAATTACAAACTTTGAGGTGAGTCAGTTTCCTCAGACTTTAAATAAAAACCAGTGGTGGGCACCAGTCCCCTAAAGTGCAAATGCACCAAGTGCGGACCTAAATTTCTCCTTTGCGCTTTAGGTGTTTTACTAATTTKTTCAAATGATGTGTGGATTTGCACTTTCTAAATGTAGAATTGAGTAGCGCTAATCACAAATAATGTTACAAGTTRAATCATCAATATTGTCTAAAGAAAAGGGAGAGAGCCGTTTAAAACCACCACGTTCTGTAGCAGTATATTTGGAGCTCCTTTCCTTTTGGGTGACGGTTTTCATTTAGTAGAGTTCCCACAATTCTTTGCGTGGCAGGAAGCAGTAGGAGCTCAGTGACAAATAAACAATTTCCAGCCATCAATATTGGTGTTTATATACTTGTATGAGCTTTGGGAGGATAGAGGGAGGAATTATAATTTGTCCCGCTGCATCTTCACCAACCTGCTGTCTCACGTTGTATTGAAGCTCACACCYGTTTAAATTCACACTCTTATTTTGAAATGAACGGCTTCCCGTTCGTCCTGTAGGCTACCCAGAATGCATTGCTTCAGTTTTACAAKAAACAATTTAAAATTACTAATATATCTGCATGTTTTCTTACCGAAGCAGCAGAACTAGCAATCCACAACTGTTTTTTTTATTTTAACACCATGACTCAAAAGTCTGTTTCAACAAATCACCTCCCCAAACTGCGACGACATGTGCCAATCTGTGAGTGGTAAATATCTTTCCACTAGTTGGAAGTATTGTGCTGCTGACATGTCTTTTGGTGTCACTGGAATAATTTTTGGTAAACGGAGACAGATTAGCACTTTTATGTTTTGCTTTTGCTAACTTTTTTTTGATRATATGTGCTTTTGAAATTGCYGACCTAAGAAAATTGACTAGCGCTTTAGAAATTATGCAACTAAATTTTGAATTAGRGCTGCCCACCACTGATAAAAACATTGTGTGAAGCCGTCCTTCAATCTTTTTTTTTTTAATTTTCCCGCCTCCTGATCCAGACCCGGGTGTCGACATGCCCTCGGACGGTCCTGCTGACAGGGATCCCTGACGTCATGGAGCAGGAGACCTTACAGGACCTYCTGGAGATCCACTTCCAGAAAAACGGGAGTGGCGGCGGAGAAATCGAAGCCTTCCTGTACAACCCGATTGGTCAGAACGCCTCGGCTCTGTTCGGCAACGCCTCGGAGGATGGAGGCGATCAGTAGCCGCAAATTTCCTCCTCCTGCTGCTGGGAAAACAAAAAACTGCTTGAAACAGATCAAAGCTATAAACCCCCCTGAAATCTTCTTGGTATTGATGAATTTCTGTAAAACTTTAACATTTTCAGCTTCTTGTTTGGTGGGACGTTTTTAATTTAGATAAATCTTGTACCAAAATAAACCCTGTAATCAAAGATAATTCAATAATTTACATAAACATCGTCACTTTTATTGAATAATGTAAAATTTAATCATGTAAAACTATTATAGATGTGCTGGGAAAAAGGCTCAAGTTTTTTTTTAAATTCTGAAAACTTACATTACAGTTACTTTTATTTATTCTACAGTTTAAAGTGCCTGTGACATGCTTATCCTTCAGATACAAAAAGTCAAAGAAAACTTTGTTCTATTTAAAAAACTTGGCATACCACACATTACTTTACCCATTTGGACACATAACTGACCTATTTTCTTTTGAACTTGGCTCGGAAAAAGGGAAATAGGAAGCGACATCAAAGGGGAACTCCTTTAAAAAAAGAACTCACTGGTCTGTGTTTATTGAAACATGACTTGAACTGACTTGTTTTTGTTTTTGTTTCTGTCTGATAGCGACTCAAAATAATCTAAAACACCAGACTCCTCTCCACAGTCTGGGCTGTTGAGCATTTTTTTAGCTTAGCTCTGTTTTCATGCAAACATTCCCCTTTGACATCACTTCCTGTTTCTTCACATGTAAATATCTCAACTGGTTATCTCAGCAGCATGGAAGTTATTTTGTAATATGTTCTCAGTGTTATCTTTTCAAAACTGCATTTGTATTAAAAAAATTGATGTCACAGGCCCTTTAAGTTTTCATCTAAAAAATACACACTTTAAAGATACGTTTAGACTTTCTGCACAAAATCAGAAGCGTTTTATCTGCAGCACAAAGTGATAAAAATGTTTTATCTTAGAGAGGAAAACTGTACATGTACACGTCCAGTGATTACTTTGATGTTTTCATTTTAACATGTCCACTGGTTTAAATTTTGCTAATGATACGGATACATATCCATCTTTCTGTAACAGATGAGACTCATCCCATCACTGATGTGATTAAAATCATGAAAAATATCTCAGACCAGATAAATTCATTACACGGACCATGTCTGGCCTGTGGGCCTTCAGTTTGATGTCAAATTWAATAAAACAATGCAGTTTCACAAACAAACCATCTGTGTAAGAGCTCCCCCTCGTGTCTGAATAGATGTATTTAAAAAAGAGACATAACTCAGTTTAGGTTTATTGTAAAAACCAAAGAGATGCAACATTTAAAAATCACAAAACTAAAGTGGTTTCTGCATCCAGCTACATCCTTGAGTGCACAAACTGCAACAAACACATCAGAGGTCGAGTTTCCACACAAAGACGGAGGCAAATGAAAGACAAAAGATAAAAAAAGGACAAAGTGAGGAAAACAGCAAGGTTTTGGTGACACTTTGGAAGACAGCTGTCCAACTTTCACATCAACACAAAGATAAAATAATTTAAAAGCCTCAATCTATTTGTGATGTTTTTATAAACACACAAACTAGTGCAGGAGAAGGAGCCAGCGTTCGTTTCTCATCTTTAGTTTCACAAATAAAACTTTGTTTTTATTTTTTTGTCCTGACATCAGTGCAAACTCGAGCATTGAGACGTGGTCCACATGAGAACTGCAGGATCATTCAAGGACAACAGTAACGAGACGTGTGACGGCTGAAGGTTCTACGGGTCGATTTGGACTACATCTTATCTGCTATAGTGCACGTTGTTTGAAACAAGTGTGTAGCTGCTCTGTAAATATTCACCTACAACACCAGAGGATGTGTGTTCGGACCTCATTTGTTCCAGCAGGAGGAAGGAGTGGTTCACGATGAAGTGTTTTCTAATGTTCTGTTCGGATCCATTTGGTGTTCTGGGAGTATACATTCGAAACCACCAACCACTTTCCAGTTTTCAGAGGAGAAAAGGAGGAAACGTTTAAAAAGCAGACTGATGGGCGAGAGGCGTCCGTCTCCTCGGGGAGGCGAGAGAAGCAGGAAGTGCATCGGTGTGCTGCTGGTCACGTGGACTCGGACCACGGGTCAGAACCGTCAATTTGATTGGGGCGTGCAAAAATGAGTTTAAACGACCAGCGGTGCCCAGTCGCTCGCTGTGCGTCCGTACTGAGAGGAAAAGAAAGAGACAGAGGAGGAAACAGGTGAACCAATGTCAGAGGAAAACTGAAAGCATGCAGCACCGGCACCACTTCTACCTGAATATCAGTAAGGTCTTTGTAGAACCTCTTGGCCAGGTCTGGACCGTTCTGCATGGTGGGGATCTGATATGTCTACAAGAAAAACAAAACCAACAACATCAAAAGGACCCGGAGCTAAAGTTCAGCACTTTTAAAGGGATCCCTGATTAGTTGTAACAGACTTTATTTGATAAACATATATTTTAACTGTAAAATAAAGACTAAAAATATTGTAGGCTGTTTAGTTTTGTATATTTTTAAAAAATTATTTTAACATGGATGGGGCCATTTTATTTACACACAAAGCATTCTGGGTAAATGATGACGTGGATAGGTCCTCGGTGC